CCCCTGGATTGATCACAAGTACATGTTGTGTATGTGAATAGGTAAAAAGGGAAAGGTCAAGTCTACTAATACGAAATTACACCATATGATCCATTATTAATTTGTCAGACCAATATCAAATCAGCATAAAGTAAAACAAGAAAATCATCAAAAGGAGGCAGCTCACAACACATTCAAACGAACACTAGGATGCAGACTTCCATTTCAAATGGAACCGAAGCGTCTCTGCATTGTGCATTTGTAAATTGAACTTTGATGTCCACACAACATCATCCCCATCATCATCATATGGCTTCACATAAACCCCCTCGAGATCATGCAGGCCATACATAAAATTGCAAGGGTTGGAGAATACTCCCTTCGTTCCTCTTTCAAGCATCTTGGAAAGGAAATCATTGTTTCTTTTGCGGTCATGATACCTCTGATTGCGTTGATAATGTTGCGTAATCATCTTCGGGCAGCATAACCGGAACAACGCATCAAAAAACGCATAACAGGTCAAAGACTTCATATAGTCCGTTTCCAACATCAAATGTTCCAATTGGTGCCTAGAGGGTAAACCATCCAAATCTTCTACCTCGTAATCAGACATATCCACGGCCCTCACTGAGAGATAAAGAGAAATTTTTGACCACCTCAACTTGGTCAACAGCTTACTCACATAAAGAAACCATGAAAGTTTAAAACTATAACACACAAGGGATACATGCGATTCATCCAACTCCTTTGACTCCGATATGAAAACGACTGAAGGAATATCAAAACATTTGAATGTAAGTTTACAAATACACGGGACATCCAGTACGATCTTTGGACTCCGTCTTTCTCCGATAAGTAATTCCAGACGCTCGAGCGAGTGGCTGCAGATTTGTATTTTAATACTAGAATAGCACAACTCCAAGGATAAATCCTTCACATTAGGAAATCTAAAGGACAAATCATCCAGAAACGCGGAATCCAATTGCATACCTTGAAGCTTGAGGGACGTCAGCTTATGAAAATCGGTCAGATAATCACAAACCAAAGCAAGTCTCTGTAATCTATTATAATTAATTTTGCACAGTGATAATTGTTTAATCAAGGGGCAGGCTGAAACTATGCGGGACACCATATCGCGTTTAATCCTCACGTCATTTAAAGTAAGCGATTCAAGCTTCGAACATCTTACCCTTTGATCCAGCACGAGATCATGAATGAAGTAGCCTTCCACGGATAACTCGACAAGGTTCTCAGCTTCGAAAACCTCGTGCGGCAAAATGGGTCTCTCGTCATCGAAATTCGTGAGCTGTAGATCGAGACGGGTGGCGCCCAATCTCAACGCTTTTACGATCAACTCGTAACCAAGGCCGATAAGATTATCGTCCCATTCACGCCGCTTATAATAGTTCATTCTTAACCTGAAACTCTCAATCTTTAGGTTCGAATCCTCGTACCTTTGCACGGTTTTCTTCGCGAAGACAGAGAACCTATCAATTGTGGGACGATTCCCGCTTTCTTCTTCGTAGGAGTCGTCGGAGTCGGAGTCGGAGTCGGAGTCGTCGGAGTCTTCTTCTTCATAACTAAACTTCCGTTCAAAATCGCTCTCATCGAGTTCGAGGTGTGGGCTAGTCAGCCACGCGGTGCGCCATGATTTTGACAGAGTGGCCGTCCGAGCAACTTCTTTTCTGGTTAGAAGAGACTGTATTATTTGGATTGCGGATTGGGGCAATGGAGTTTCGTCACCCATGCTTGGAAGCCCTAGAATTTGGGATTGGGGATGGGTTAAATGATTTATTTATAAATCTCGCAGTAGTATTAGTTAGGGTCGGCTAATTGGGGCTTCTCTTCGAAACAAATTCACACGATTGTAATATGGGGTCGATAGGCACCTAATTTGAGGGATAAAACTCGGTGCACGGTATCGGCACCTAATTTTAAGGAATACAACTACACGGGGTGTTCACGGTACGGATTAGTCTAGTTTTAGCTCAAATCATCAAATCGGACCTATCTGTTAATTTTTTTCTTATCTATAACTGGATAGGTTTTATTTTTTAACCGGCCACAATTCGGACTGCATTAGACGGTTCGCAGTTGACCGGTTAAATCCAAAATCTTTGTTTTGGGCCTTTAATTTTTATTTTTTTCATTTTGGGCTTAATTTTTATTTTTCAATTTGGGCCTAAAAATTAAAAAAAACAACAATAATGAAATAAAAAATACACAGTTCATTACATAAGCATAAAAATACACATTTTGTCCCAAAAAATTAGGAAGAGAAGGTGGGAAATCTGAAAATGACAAAACTGAAGGTAGGAAAAAGTGAAAAAGTTATAGCGTCTTACAAAATTAAATCAACAAAAGGCCAAAAAGTGAAAGTGATGTATTGTATTTGTCGGCCATAATGAATGACTGAATGTATATATATATATACTTGTTATAGTTGTTTAATATTTACCGGTCCAGTTCGATTAAACAGGCGGTTTGCCGCAGGTAATCCGTTAACCGGACCGGTTATTCCGGATTTTAAAAAAATTAACCACCAAACTTTTAAGGCTTTTTTAACCAATCATTTAACAGATCCGCAGTTCGGATTGACGATTTTTTTCGGTTATAACCGGACCATGAACACCTCTAGCTACACACATGTTTATAATTTTGAGTTGACATTGTTAAATACCATTGAACAAACTCCTCATATTTTTGGTTGATTTTTTTTTTTTTTTTTTTAAGAAATGAAATGAAGCAATATAAAATGAATATTGGATTTGATTCGTCTAATTTCTTATGTATTTAATTATCTTGAATTTTATTTATTAGTTCCATTGCCTCATAGGAAACAAGGTTTAAAAAATGAAAACAGTTATTGAACCGGTAAAACTATTGGTTCAAGGGTTCACTAATTCGACCAGTGGTTGAACTGGTTGGACCGATATTTGATATATTAATATGTTTAAATGTATAAAGTATTTTGCATAGTAAAAAGTATACATAAAAATTTTATTAATTAAATATTTAATTAGCCTATTTAAAATATTCAAAAACTTAAATTAACTAATAACTAGTTTATACATATCCATTATATTTAGATATGTATATTTTTATTTATATTAACAATATTTTGAAGTTAGGATTTGGACTCAATACACATGCACTAGTAACATATGGATGATGTATAGGAAAATATGTTGATAAAAAAATAATCACACACACATTAGGATGAAAAAACGTGTTGTTGTTACATTATTCATGGAAAGTTGGTGTTTCTCAAGATTTTGAGACACGTCAATAATTCATATTGAAGAAAACTTACTTAGCACGACGCTTCTGAAAAGTCGGCGTCCAAAATAAATTTATATTTATATAAAAAAGTTTGATTATTTTAAAAATAGTAACTATTTCTCTAAATAAAAATCCTATTAACTAATTTTAGAAATATATCAACTAATTTTAGAAATATATTATAGTATTAAAATATTGAATGAAAACAAATATCAGTCATACGATTTATATTTACGGAATGAAAACAAATATTGCTTTAAGATTTGTTTTCGAAATATGAGTCGTGAAATTTCTTAAATATAACAACTTGGGAATGTTAATACTAAGTTATTTGTATCAAAATATACATATATTGTAGTGCTATGTGTGGAAAATATCAGCTATGTGAGGAAAATATATTGTAGTGCTATGTGTGAATCTTTTAGGCTTTATTTTAGGTTTTTGACATTTGGTGAATCTTCAAAAAATACCGCCTCTAAAATATAATTAATCAAATTATGGTATAAAATTAACAAAATTAATATGTTATTAATAATTTATGAAGGGCAATTGTATTTTGGTATGAAATATCTGAATTTAAATAGTATGAATTTTATTATGTATGGATAGAAGTATATTTTAAAATTTGGAAAACAAAACAAGTGGTATAAATTTTATTACGTATGGGTAGAAAAGTCGATTTTTCGGTTGGTTTGTTATTAAATCAAGCTTATATAATTCTCAAATTTTAGCATATTTTTATAATAACTTGCCATAAAATATTGATAATAATTTGACAAATCTATCATTATATTAAAAGAATAACCTTTTTATGATTTCCCGCCAAAATCATTATTTTTCCTCCAAAATCATTAAATACCTGCCAAAATTATTATTTTCCCTCTAAAATCATTAAATACCCACTAAAATCATTATTTTACTCTAAAATCATTAAATAAACAGTGATATAGTGTTAACAAAAAAAACCACGCGCTGATTTTTGTGATGTTTTTCTTTTTCCTATTTTTTTAGGTTAACAAAATAATACATGCTATGGTTTTTGTGATGTTTTAATTTTTCCTATTTTTTAGGTTAACAAAATAATAGATATTGTGTTGATTTGTTTCCTTTTCATTTAAACTCTTTTTATGCAGAAATTTTGAAACATTATATCTGATTTAATGTGTAGATATTTGTTTCTTTTTCCTATTTTTTGACCGAAGGTGTTTATTAAATTAGCCTTATAATATTTTAGTTATTTTAAACAAATTGTTTAGACATTTGTTTTTTTACATATTCGTCTATATATACACATATACATAATTGATGTTAAATTTAATTATTTGTAGACATGCTTTTTTTACAAAATAGTCTAGAAATTTTTCTTTACATAATGTTAAATTCAAATGTTTTTTTATATGTTTTCTTTCTAAAATTGTTTAGAAAAGTTGTAGGTGACTTCATATTTCTTAAAAATAATATAGAAAATTTTGAATACTTTTACACATACTAATATAATATTTTAGGTTTTTTTAATATTAAACATACAAATTTTATATTCTATTATACAAAATAATATAAAATTTATATTCTCTTATACAAAATCATTTTACATTGTCTGACCCCAACACTTTAATATATAATTATTATTTTTTTCTTTATCTTTTTAAATAGGATCAATAGTAGTTTCCACTTCCGTCATTGAGTGACTCAAACTCGAGCTATATTTATAATATTGTTAATGTAATATTGTTACCGTGCATCGCACGGGGTACACACTAGTTTAATTTGATTACGAGATAATATATATATATGTATATATATATATATATATGAAATATATAAGAGAATTTATTGTTTAATCCAAATTTGGGTCCCGAATTTAAAACTCAAATCAGTGGTCAATATTAATTTGGACATAAATGAATATTCAATTATTTATAGTTCATAAATTACTCAATTACTTAAAATTTTTGATTAGGAAAGTAAAAAAAAAAAAAAACATTTTCATTGATTAAATAATACTCCCTCATATTCTTTTTCAGCATCGTTCTGCACATAACATACAAATTAAGAATCTTTTTCT